GGTTGCGAAAAAACTTTCAACAAGCATTATATAACCACTATTAAGATAACTATATAGCATTTACTATTTATCTGTTATAGTCACACCTTATTATTTTGTACGTACGTACGTATGATAGTTATTCAATTTCTGGATCCAAAGCGGGTAACTTTATCGAGGTGTATCTATTTAAAATTTGTAGCTTCAGCCGTTTCCAACTTTTAGCCGCAATGATAATTAATATTTGGTATTCTAAATAAAAAAAAGTATTTTAAAAAATCTTAAATTTTAAATTTAACTTAAATCTTCAAAGTTTTAATTTAATATATATATTATAAAAAATACATAATTGTAAATTTTATCTTTAATAAATGTTAAATAACCTAAATATTAAACTAAATTTAAATTTAAGAAAATCCTAATGTTTATATAAGTTTCAATTAACTCGCTTTAAAATACCTAGCTATATTAATGCAAATTGCTAAAAACATCTGAAATAATCCAAATATATAAATTAAGTGCTTAAAAAGATTTTCAAAATATTATATCATTTTTTTGAGATGATTATCATTATTTATAACTAAGCTATTATTCTAAGACCCACGTCAAATTCCATCCTGAACACATGCTTAATTGTAATCCAAAGAAAGTTAATTTTCCCATATTATCAATTACCCATAAACCGCCATCACTACTATTTATATCATTATCGCTATAATCGACATCACCCCTATCAATAAAGGTGTTCTTATTTTCACATTCTTTCATTTCAATTTCAATTCCATTCAGAATAACTTTGCTGACTTTTCTTTTTAAGACTCTATCATTCTTTATACCTGTAGCCCTATTGGCTCCAAGAATAATGATTTTATCTAATATAGTACCATCATCGTATCCACACCATTTAACGTCCGCAATCAAAGTACTTTGATTATACGCGATATATGAGATATAAGTATACTTGTCTTTAACATCTAAACTTTCACCATCATCAAGATACAATGTTCCTTTAGCACTTGCGTTCTCATCCAATGGAATTGTTAAATAATAATTCGTCTTCCTGCTTTGTGCTGTGGTCATTCTGGGACGTTGCATTGGTATAATATGCCCGCCCCTCAAATGTATTGGCATCTCATTTAAAGGTGCATAAATATCAGAATGTATGCCTGAATTGTCATGAACTTCAAAGCTTATGTCGTGTGAATAAAAGTTATACCATATTCCGGGTGGTATGTAAGCGCCTTTCACCTCTACTTTTAGTGGCGATAATACAGGTGACACTAATATTCCTCCACCAAGCATAAATTGCTTGTCAACTATTAATGCTGATTTAATATGTGGAAATTCAACAAACAGAGGCCGTAGAACCATGGATCCATTGGTATGAGATTCATAGAAGAGTGTGTAATAGTATGGAAGGAGTGAGTATCGAATACGGAGATATCTGCGAGAAGTTGCAGCGACCGATGGCCAAATATATGGTTCTTGAGAACTTTCTAGTATTGCATTATGATTTCTAGTGAATTATTTAAAGTAACATTAGTAATGAAATTTTATATTGAATTATTATTACAAAATCAAAAATTGTTGATTAACAAATGACTAATTGCCTCATGAAAGGATAAAATGATCCAAGTTGCATCCATCTAAGACATAGTTCTTCAGTAGTATGACCATTAAAA